TCCATTAATTAAATATTCTTTCAAAAGATAATTGAAATTTAAAAATGAAGCATGTCAATTCTCAATAAAAAAATATTTCATGAGAAAATTTCATATGAAACAGTACTCCAATAAATTTTTTTCTCATAGCTAACCAAAAATATTTATCCTTCCTGTAATAATCTTCCATTAGAATTGCCATTACTAATATATTGCTAAGTTAATGATGGTAATTCTGATGAAAATAGAAAGTAGTTATTAGACAATAATTTAATAAATTATTATTATAATAAAAATATAACAAATATTTGCTTTGTTGGAACACACTGTAAATATCAGTTTTCCTGAGCACAAAAGTGCTCAACAACAAAGCTACAATAATGCAATTTTTGTTACATTTTAAAGGAATTTGGGGTTATTTTTTATTATTTATTTTAATAATAAATTTTGTAAACAAATATCTCATACAGATTAATAAACAATGATTTATCAACTATTTACATATATACTCTTTATAGACTGATCTTTCCCAAACTTTTCTAGCTTGTTCACCTGTGATAATTCCTATTGTAATTAGCATCTCATCCCATAAATTGCATAGTAATTATAAAGAATATTACTATTTATATTTTCTTAGCATAAGGTTGCTGTTGAGAACAAATCATACAGGAACACTTTTAATGGAAAAAGGTCAGTTTATCGTTCACTAATTGTTCTGGAAAAACATTCAGTGAACAACAGAGAATACTCACATCTTTTTAACCTCTCCTATCTGGTCTATGTTTTTTGTACATTTCATTGGAATTATTTCACACCCTACAGCACATGTAGTTATACTGTTCAAAAGTGTATTGAGCTCTACCTCAATTTTCTCCCCTTTTTTAATCTATGGCTTCTCACGAGTCATGTTATCCTAACCGTCATCATAATATCAGGACTGAAGAGGGGCATTGAACCCGAAATGCATATCCTTTCCTATCAATAAACCGACCTTTTTCCACTAAAAGTGTTCCTGTGTGATTTGTTCTCAATGGCAACCTTATGCTAAGAAAATACATATAGTAAAGAGAACAGAAAGCAACAAAGTTCTAATATTACTATTGTCGTTTAAATGAAATATCTTAAAACATACAATTTATTTTTATTAAAAATTTATTCTTTTAACAAAAACACTTTACTAGAGCCATCAGACATAAACAACACAAAATGACAAGCCATTCCTCAAGAACTTTTGAATATTGAAAACACTCATCTTTAGTAAGACATCTACAATCAAACACAGATGCATAGAAGTTATTATCCTTTTCTATTTCATATTCTAATTTTTAGGTTTACAATGGACTGATATTTTTTTCCTAATGAATTAGTACCAGGCTGTGGATTAAAATGCTTGGAAAATGCAGGTATAATAATAACAGAAAAATATAGTGAAACCAGTGCTTTTTTTGGGGGAAAAAAATNTAAAGTTTTAAATACTGTATATTTAAGTTTTTGATAGTTAACAAACTTTTGTAACTACTGTAAATTTTGATTATTGATTGTGTCACTTTGCAAAATATTTTCTATATAACTATTTCCTATATTAAATCACTGTTTTGACTTTGTTTTCATGTTAACAGTTACTCTCATTGAAATCCATCTTAAATAAAAAAAATGTTCATTTATGATATTATATTTAACATAACCCTATTGGTCTTCCATTTCATGTGTCTAATTTAAATTCTTTATATTCCTTCCAGCATTTCTTATATTTTAAAAAATGAATCCAGCTAATTTATCATAAGAATAAAGTATTTTTGTTAAATTAATTTAACAAAATATAATTTCCAAGTATTTTCAAGCCTTTCAGTTCATCATTGCAGATACAAATTACAGAAGAAATTTTGTAAACAATAGATAGAATACTGTCCCCAGACAGAAACCTGGTGATGGGCCAATAGACTTGAAAGCACTTGAAAACTTAGGTTAACATTCTCAAGATCTTCAATAAAGCAGGAAATAGTAAACTTACAATGATTGAAGAAACAAGTTTTTAGTTAACAGAATATAAATTAAAACAAATAACTGTTATTAAAATATTTAATTTAGACATCCAATTTGAAAAAGTATATATGTATATATGTTTGTCTTACTTTATTTGAGAAATAAGATTAACACTGAATTGTTTATGTGATAATGATAACAAAGAAATTATAAGCATATTTTTTTGTAGATTAAACATTTAAACCTTTTAAGATCATATATCAAAGATATTTAAAATTTATTAAATCTTGTTTGCTTATCTTGTATACTTTCTGAACTTAATTTTAAATATATGTGCTTTATTATTATTACTGATACATATTACCTAGAAAAATTTTAATGTTTTAAAAAATTATTTTATTCTCTAAACCAAAAAACTGATTTTTTTAATAGATTTAATAAACTGTTTTTGAAACTGAATCCTGCCAATGAAATTTAAGATTTTATGAAAATTTCCAAAAAATATAAATGATAAAGCACTTTCAATATTATTTTAAACAGTTTTAAAATTTATTCAAAAAACTTAATTTTTATATCCTACTTATATATATAAAATATATTGTTTAAATATAAATAAAAACAATATTCCAACAATATTTGTTATAAAATATTCATATCAAATGCTTTATATTATGGAAACTGATTTGTATGTTTTATAATCTACTTTTCTTACGAATAAATTTATCATGAATTTTCTTAAAGTTTATCAAATTATAAATATTGCTGCAAACTATTGTATTTCAAAGTTTGAAATACCAAATCATACCTAAGGAAGAAAAGCTTTCAAATGACATCAATAAAATTTAAAAAATTATTAGATTACTCCTATTTTAATAAATTTCTTTATCCAGTTACTTAATTTATACTTTAATGAAAATTAGAATGGATAATTTATAATCTAAATCTTATATTTCTTATTACTATATATGACCTCTATATAGCTGAGTGACATTTAGTAATTCCAAGATTTTAAAAATGAGAAAACAAATGTTAATGTAAGTTTGGAATATATAATTATAAAAATATATTTTAATTTCTATATAAAATTTCAGTAAATTTATATTACACTTTGTCTGTTCTCTCATGTACAAAGAAAATGATATTACTAAAAAGGAGAAATACAAACAAAAAAAATCTACTTGAATTAATACAAAACATTCTAACTGATATTGACTAAATGAAATTATATAAATTAACAGAAGAATCAAATATTGATTCTTTAAAAGTATACCTATTCTAATAAATAAGCACTAAAAAATCTACAATGAAAAATACTATTCATTCAATAAGAACATCAATTTTGTATATGTTGTATATTACATGCAATCTATTATTTTCTCATATTTTAAATAACTGTTCAAGTTGTGAAATCCTTAAAAATACTGTATTCAGATATAGGTAATTGCACTAATGTAATAGGAGAAATAAAGATAACAATTAATGAGTCTGATGAGTCATTTGTATATGTGCAACAAAATAGAAAATTAATATATAACAATAAATGACATTCTTATTAGAATTTCATTTATTCCATATTCTGAATTTAAGCAGAAATATATTTTTAAAAGTTGTTCATATAGTAAAAGATATTCCAATAAAGGTACAGTTATGCTATAAATAGAAGTGTTATGTAATTTATAGCAAACTGTTGTAAATCTCAAAATGTAATACAATACAATTCTATTAAAAAACAAATAAATTTTAAATAAGATTATCTTTTCTGATATAATTATATGATAAAAACAAAAAATTACAGTACTAAAATAATAGAATTAGTTAATCATATTCTTGTATTTATTTTGGCTAATTCAGTGTATTTATATTATTTATTATTGTTGTTAATTTTCCTTATTTTTAACCATTGAAAATTCTAATCTATTTTTCTTTACAATCAAATAAGTTCTAGTAATTAAAATTATTGATAAATCATTAATCAACTCTCATCTACATTGCTGAAAATTCTAATATTAAAAATGTTTTCATTATTAATAAATTTTCATTGTAACTATTGCTATTTTAATGTCAATTGTTCATTTCTTGTTTCCTTCATTCAAATAATCACATTTTGGTTAAGCTTCATAGTGATTAAGATAACTAAGCTAACTTGTTATACAAATTATTCATTATATCAAATTTTTTCTTAAATTAAATGTCTTAATAAAAAAAAATAAATTTATAATCTCTTATATGTTACTGAATCTAATATGTACTTAATAATCTTACAAGTTTCATCAAATGATACAAATCTTGATAAGACAACTTTATCATATCTGCAATTTTTTGATAACTATAAATACATATGAAACTTGTGTTATATATTACTTCAAAACAATGTTCATTCCTTACATTATACAAATACTACATAATTCCCAAGACAATTAATTTTTGCATTATTTATTTAATTATTAATAGATTAATTTTTTCAATTCTAAGTCTGATTTTCTATTCTTTAAATTCCTTCTCTCAACTCATTGTTGATCTATTCTTTTCATGTTTATTTTGGGATGACCTCTTCCCTTTCCAGACAATAATCATTCTAATTCTTCTTCAATTATCATTTACTCTCCTCAAGCAACATTCTGCAATTATGGCCAAACTATATCATTCTCCCTTTCAATATACAATTCTCATAAAGCACAGATTTTATACATAGAATATTCACTACAGTTTTGAATATGTGATCAGATATTTAAGTATTTTTATTGAGATTAATACGAAGTATTCAAAGCTGAATTCTGTCAACATCAATGTTTTTTGTTTAGTGATTTATCGTCACTACAAATTATAAATCTATTTTTCTTGTCAAATGCACAGAGCAACCAGAATAAAAGATGTGGGATTATTGAAGGAATAAGTATGGTCAGTTCACACATTTCTTGCTGAATGATAGGGGGCAAGTTTGGCATTGTAAGAGGTGTAACTCATCAATCATCCGAATATTTTCAAGCACTAAGAAAAGCTAATTCAATCTGACATTCAAGAACACTTAACCTACTTACCCATATATCGGCCTCTGCATTGCCCGTTTCTTTCGCAGAATTGACCAATTCATCGAAAGAAATAGTACAATTTGCAACGAAATCGTCGGGAGGTATAGCGGCATCATGAAAGACAGTCAATCCTAAGAGTTGGGCATTGTGCACTTCGGAAGTAAAATATTCGTTCCAGATCGGCTTAGAAGTTTTCTGCTTAGTCGAAGATCGATCAATATGAATTTCATCGACGTCGATAGATACATAAGGGTCAATTAACATCTGTTGTTGTTTGCCAACGACATTTGCATGTCGCGTTGAAAATTCGGTTGGACGTAAATCAACAGCTTCACATATCTTCAGTTTCACGGTACCGGTGAAATTTGGCATTTTGATCGCTCACTTAGTTCCGTGACCGATCATGATAGATGTGCATCGACGCTTCTTTATTAACGCACTTCTTTTCCCATTTATTTCCGATCGCCGATGTTTTCTTTCATTTTCGATCAACTAAATGTCGATAAAGACAGCCCATAATCCATTGCGGAAACATCGGGAAGAAAGATGAATACGTCCTCTAACGGAATGATTTGTTAACTTTTTTAATCAAGAATTTATTTTAAAACGAAAATGAACAGTGATTTTATTATTTTTAATATTTACGAATTTTTATAATGATTAATCATTATATAACTTTTTATTTTGAATAAATAAAAATGATCCCTTCTGTAACCAATATTCTGTTTTGCTNTTCTGGAGTATCCAGAACTAATTTAAGTACAGAATTCTTTTATAATTAATTTTATATCGTCAATTTGTTATTTAAACATCACATTATTACTTTAAACAAGATACTAGTAATAATCCAAAACTAGTATTAATTCTGTACAGAATACAACTGGATAATCTTATAATATAGTACAGGAAATTCTTGTTAATTTAACTCAGTTCAAAATTCAGATATTTCAAAATTTGGAGGGAAAAGTCTGTCCGAACTGTGATATGCACATGTTAACTTGTTTAGATTAAAGTACCTCCGTACCATAACAAAACAATAGATCAAAAACAACTCTAATCTGGTCAATATGGCTTTATTTTTACAGTAACACATTTTCGGGCGTCATCTTATATATAGACTACCCTTTTTTCTCTTATCTCATAAAATATGGTTGAGTTTCAGGATTGCAAGATTGGGCTACAAATAACAGATTCAGATATCTGTAGAGCTCTAGGCAACTTATTACTTTTTAGGTAACCTTACAAATAATTTGGGCTACATTTCAAGGAATTCTGCTTTACTTTTTATAAAACCTATCTGGCAACCTGTGATTGCACACATGCTGTTTACCTGCAGTTTATTTATATTACTATTATTAATTAATGAAAAAAGCATTCTGTATATGTATGAGATCATTCAAATGAAACCTGACCAATGACTTTATTTAGTAGGTATAGTACATTACATTAAAAGTAATCCTCCTGATGAGTAAAGCACTTGTCCCACTATGATACCAGATGTTGGTTTCCTTGCTCATAGAATGCAGGGGTTGATGTCTGCACCATTCTCAAACTGCATCTTCCACTTCAGCATCCGATTGAAACTTACGCCTTTTCAGGTGCCTCTTAAGCTGGTTGAAAACATGGAATTCACACAGAGACAAATCAGGACTGTATGCAGGATACTGGAGTGTTTTCCACTTGAATTTCACAAAGGATTCCTGCACAATGTGTACGGTGTGAGGACAGACATGATGAAAGACAACGACCCTTGCATAAACAGACCAGGCGGCTTGGACTTGACAAAAGTTTGCAGAGAATTTAAAGTTTCTATCTACTGATCATCATTTATGGTGATTCCACAGGAGGTAAACTCCATCAGCTCAATTGTTGACTCATCCATGCTTGAAAGTTTGGTAGATTATCTGTCTGACGTGCTAAACAAATGCAGTTTGTAGGCTCACATAACACTTCAGCGTGAACCTACAGTGTTTCCATCTACATTTCAAATGGCGAATGATTCACTACACACATTCCACACTTTGATGTATCCATTGGTTGGGTTTCATTTCAATGAACCTCATAGCTGTATTCTGTTTGCTTAATAAATTACATCAGTTACATGGCATTTGCAGTATTGAACAGAACTATGTAAATCTCAGATAATTCAAAACTCAATAATTTGAAGACACAATTATTTTGTTCCTTGACTTTTGAACTCTCTCTCTCTCATATATATATATATATATATGTATATATTATATATGCATACAAATTATGAAGTGTAAGCCCTATATTTCTTTAATTATAAAATGTTCTTCTATTACTGAAATTTACCTTAAGAGCTCTTTAGATAAATTTTTTTTTAATACAGAAGTAATTCATTGTCATTTATCAATATTTATTTATCTAAAAATCTTTAGTATTATTTAACTCAAAAGAAAATGGCTCCAAATCTCAAATAATTAATAATTATTTAAATTATAGAAAAAGTTAAAGAATTTTTAAAGAAATGAATATATTAGTCACAATAATAAAATTGTAAAAAAATAACAATTATACTAAAAAAAATTATTCTTAATTGTAATTAATATTTCAAAAATCAATTTATGAATTAAATTATTTTTTACATAACTTTATAATTTAAATTAATAAAAAAAACCATTAGAGCTAGTCCTTCCTCTGTTCCTAAATCTATCTAGGAGTAGGATTGTTTGGAAGACTAAAATAATAAAATTGTATAAAATAAGACAATTTTATTCCATTTAAATAAGCCAAGAGATGAAGATAATGATTATGAATAAAGAAAATTATTTATACATCAAATATCTCTCACGATTAAATTCAAGTACTCAAAACTAGGAATATGTTAATTAAACACTATACAAATAACCAAAATCCAGTAAGAAGAAATTACAAAAAAGCAAAATTTTCAATCATGTTTAACAAGTATCATCCATTCCTAACTCTCTAATAGGGCTCAAAAACATTATCTACCCTCAATTTCTATCCAGTATTAACACTTGGGTCATAGGCATAGTGGAATCCAGAGTCATGCCTCTAGTTTAATTTAGGACAATGCCCATTAAACACAGTTGAAAACATTTGATTTCTTAAATTTCTTCTTGCTGGATATTGGTTATATATGAAGTGTTTATCTGTCATGATTTATATGCTTCTCCAATTTTTGAACATAATGCATTCCTAAAAATTTATACAAAAATTGAATGTCCAAGAAACAGTAGGATTATATTTTATAATGGGTGTTCTATTTCCAAAGAACTAAGAATGAAAATTATAAAATCTCTTATTCAGATAGAAAAGTTCAGAATAGAAAAGTTGTTTTTGTAGTGAATATAATGTAAGCCTAAAAACTTATTATTTAAAATGTTACAACTGTAGATTAAACAAAAAGCAGAGAATAAAATTAACTTTCACAAATGATTTTGCCATTACTGAAATCAAAACTGGTAGAAAATGTATGAGTTCAAAATATTTGTGCTTCAATTGAAAATATATGAAAATGTGAATTTGGCATATGAAAAATAATTTAGAGGTATCAACATGTTATGTACTAAAGTATGAGTTGTCCATAAGCCAAATATCTAAAAGTTGTCAACCACTTTTTACAAATGTCAAATTTCAGATAATCAATCATATCAACCAGATAATAAGTAAAATTTTAAAAATTATTAATATTTTGCAAAATATAAGTCATTAATTTATGTTTAATCATTATATCATAAGCATAATTTTACAATGATTAATCATCAATGTAAAAAATCAATAAATTTTAAAATAGTTTCATTATCTAGAACAGATTCATTTGATTAATTTACTTAATAATTAAAAGAAATCATAAACAAAAATAACATTTTTTGCCTGTTTTGAATAACCTTCAGGATATAAAGTTTTAAATACTGTATATTTAAGTTTTTGATAGTTAACAAACTTTTGTAACTACTGTAAATTTTGATTATTGATTGTGTCACTTTGCAAAATATTTTCTATATAACTATTTCCTATATTAAATCACTGTTTTGACTTTGTTTTCATGTTAACAGTTACTCTCATTGAAATCCATCTTAAATAAAAAAAATGTTCATTTATGATATTATATTTAACATAACCCTATTGGTCTTCCATTTCATGTGTCTAATTTAAATTCTTTNTTTACATAACTTTATAATTTAAATTAATAAAAAAAACCATTAGAGCTAGTCCTTCCTCTGTTCCTAAATCTATCTAGGAGTAGGATTGTTTGGAAGACTAAAATAATAAAATTGTATAAAATAAGACAATTTTATTCCATTTAAATAAGCCAAGAGATGAAGATAATGATTATGAATAAAGAAAATTATTTATACATCAAATATCTCTCACGATTAAATTCAAGTACTCAAAACTAAAAATATGTTAATTAAACACTATACAAATAACCAAAATCCAGTAAGAAGAAATTACAAAAAAGCAAAATTTTCAATCATGTTTAACAAGTATCATCCATTCCTAACTCTCTAATAGGGCTCAAAAACATTATCTACCCTCAACTTCTATCCAGTATTAACACTTGGGTCATAGGCATAGTGGAATCCAGTCATGCCTCTAGTTTAATTTAGGACAATGCCCATTAAACACGGTTGAAAACATTTGATTTCTTAAATTTCTTCTTGCTGGATATTGGTTATATATGAAGTGTTTATCTGTCATGATTTATATGCTTTTCCAATTTTAGTAATAGTCTCCAATTTTTGAACATAATGCATTCCTAAAAATTTATACAAAAATTGAATGTCCAAGAAACAGTAGGATTACATTTTATAATGGGTGTTCTATTTCCAAAGAACTAAGAATGAAAATTATAAAATCTCTTATTCAGATAGAAAAGTTTTACTATTTTTTTAGTGAATATAATGTAAGCCTAAAAACTTATTATTTAAAATGTTACAACTGTAGATTAAACAAAAAGCAGAGAATAAAATTAACTTTCACAAATGATTTTGCCATTACTGAAATCAAAACTGGTAGAATGAATCACTGTATGAGTTCAAAATATTTGTGCTTCAATTGAAAATATATGAAAATGTGAATTTGGCATATGAAAAATAATTTAGAGGTATCAACATGTTATGTACTAAAGTATGAGTTGTCCATAAGCCAAATATCTAAAAGTTGTCAACCACTTTTTACAAATGTCAAATTTCAGATAATCAATCATATCAACCAGATAATAAGTAAAATTTTAAAAATTATTAATATTTTGCAAAATATAAGTCATTAATTTATGTTTAATCATTATATCATAAGCATAATTTTACAATGATTAATCATCAATGTAAAAAATCAATAAATTTTAAAATAGTTTCATTATCTAGAACAGATTCATTTGATTAATTTACTTAATAATTAAAAGAAATCATAAACAAAAATAACATTTTTTGCCTGTTTTGAATAACCTTCAGGATATAAAGTTTTAAATACTGTATATTTAAGTTTTTGATAGTTAACAAACTTTTGTAACTACTGTAAATTTTGATTATTGATTGTGTCACTTTGCAAAATATTTTCTATATAACTATTTCCTATATTAAATCACTGTTTTGACTTTGTTTTCATGTTAACAGTTACTCTCATTGAAATCCATCTTAAATAAAAAAAATGTTCATTTATGATATTATATTTAACATAACCCTATTGGTCTTCCATTTCATGTGTCTAATTTAAATTCTTTATATTCCTTCCAGCATTTCTTATATTTTAAAAAATGAATCCAGCTAATTTATCATAAGAATAAAGTATTTTTGTTAAATTAATTTAACAAAATATAATTTCCAAGTATTTTCAAGCCTTTCAGTTCATCATTGCAGATACAAATTACAGAAGAAATTTTGTAAACAATAGATAGAATACTGTCCCCAGACAGAAACCTGGTGATGGGCCAATAGACTTGAAAGCACTTGAAAACTTAGGTTAACATTCTCAAGATCTTCAATAAAGCAGGAAATAGTAAACTTACAATGATTGAAGAAACAAGTTTTTAGTTAACAGAATATAAATTAAAACAAATAACTGTTATTAAAATATTTAATTTAGACATCCAATTTGAAAAAGTATATATGTATATATGTTTGTCTTACTTTATTTGAGAAATAAGATTAACACTGAATTGTTTATGTGATAATGATAACAAAGAAATTATAAGCATATTTTTTTGTAGATTAAACATTTAAACCTTTTAAGATCATATATCAAAGATATTTAAAATTTATTAAATCTTGTTTGCTTATCTTGTATACTTTCTGAACTTAATTTTAAATATATGTGCTTTATTATTATTACTGATACATATTACCTAGAAAAATTTTAATGTTTTAAAAAATTATTTTATTCTCTAAACCAAAAAACTGATTTTTTTAATAGATTTAATAAACTGTTTTTGAAACTGAATCCTGCCAATGAAATTTAAGATTTTATGAAAATTTCCAAAAAATATAAATGATAAAGCACTTTCAATATTATTTTAAACAGTTTTAAAATTTATTCAAAAAACTTAATTTTTATATCCTACTTATATATATAAAATATATTGTTTAAATATAAATAAAAACAATATTCCAACAATATTTGTTATAAAATATTCATATCAAATGCTTTATATTATGGAAACTGATTTGTATGTTTTATAATCTACTTTTCTTACGAATAAATTTATCATGAATTTTCTTAAAGTTTATCAAATTATAAATATTGCTGCAAACTATTGTATTTCAAAGTTTGAAATACCAAATCATACCTAAGGAAGAAAAGCTTTCAAATGACATCAATAAAATTTAAAAAATTATTAGATTACTCCTATTTTAATAAATTTCTTTATCCAGTTACTTAATTTATACTTTAATGAAAATTAGAATGGATAATTTATAATCTAAATCTTATATTTCTTATTACTATATATGACCTCTATATAGCTGAGTGACATTTAGTAATTCCAAGATTTTAAAAATGAGAAAACAAATGTTAATGTAAGTTTGGAATATATAATTATAAAAATATATTTTAATTTCTATATAAAATTTCAGTAAATTTATATTACACTTTGTCTGTTCTCTCATGTACAAAGAAAATGATATTACTAAAAAGGAGAAATACAAACAAAAAAAATCTACTTGAATTAATACAAAACATTCTAACTGATATTGACTAAATGAAATTATATAAATTAACAGAAGAATCAAATATTGATTCTTTAAAAGTATACCTATTCTAATAAATAAGCACTAAAAAATCTACAATGAAAAATACTATTCATTCAATAAGAACATCAATTTTGTATATGTTGTATATTACATGCAATCTATTATTTTCTCATATTTTAAATAACTGTTCAAGTTGTGAAATCCTTAAAAATACTGTATTCAGATATAGGTAATTGCAGTAATGTAATAGGAGAAATAAAGATAACAATTAATGAGTCTGATGAGTCATTTGTATATGTGCAACAAAATAGAAAATTAATATATAACAATAAATGACATTCTTATTAGAATTTCATTTATTCCATATTCTGAATTTAAGCAGAAATATATTTTTAAAAGTTGTTCATATAGTAAAAGATATTCCAATAAAGGTACAGTTATGCTATAAATAGAAGTGTTATGTAATTTATAGCAAACTGTTGTAAATCTCAAAATGTAATACAATACAATTCTATTAAAAAACAAATAAATTTTAAATAAGATTATCTTTTCTGATATAATTATATGATAAAAACAAAAAATTACAGTACTAAAATAATAGAATTAGTTAATCATATTCTTGTATTTATTTTGGCTAATTCAGTGTATTTATATTATTTATTATTGTTGTTAATTTTCCTTATTTTTAACCATTGAAAATTCTAATCTATTTTTCTTTACAATCAAATAAGTTCTAGTAATTAAAATTATTGATAAATCATTAATCAACTCTCATCTACATTGCTGAAAATTCTAATATTAAAAATGTTTTCATTATTAATAAATTTTCATTGTAACTATTGCTATTTTAATGTCAATTGTTCATTTCTTGTTTCCTTCATTCAAATAATCACATTTTGGTTAAGCTTCATAGTGATTAAGATAACTAAGCTAACTTGTTATACAAATTATTCATTATATCAAATTTTTTCTTAAATTAAATGTCTTAATAAAAAAAAATAAATTTATAATCTCTTATATGTTACTGAATCTAATATGTACTTAATAATCTTACAAGTTTCATCAAATGATACAAATCTTGATAAGACAACTTTATCATATCTGCAATTTTTTGATAACTATAAATACATATGAAACTTGTGTTATATATTACTTCAAAACAATGTTCATTCCTTACATTATACAAATACTACATAATTCCCAAGACAATTAATTTTTGCATTATTTATTTAATTATTAATAGATTAATTTTTTCAATTCTAAGTCTGATTTTCTATTCTTTAAATTCCTTCTCTCAACTCATTGTTGATCTATTCTTTTCATGTTTATTTTGGGATGACCTCTTCCCTTTCCAGACAATAATCATTCTAATTCTTCTTCAATTATCATTTACTCTCCTCAAGCAACATTCTGCAATTATGGCCAAACTATATCATTCTCCCTTTCAATATACAATTCTCATAAAGCACAGATTTTATACATAGAATATTCACTACAGTTTTGAATATGTGATCAGATATTTAAGTATTTTTATTGAGATTAATACGAAGTATTCAAAGCTGAATTCTGTCAACATCAATGTTTTTTGTTTAGTGATTTATCGTCACTACAAATTATAAATCTATTTTTCTTGTCAAATGCACAGAGCAACCAGAATAAAAGATGTGGGATTATTGAAGGAATAAGTATGGTCAGTTCACACATTTCTTGCTGAATGATAGGGGGCAAGTTTGGCATTGTAAGAGGTGTAACTCATCAATCATCCGAATATTTTCAAGCACTAAGAAAAGCTAATTCAATCTGACATTCAAGAACACTTAACCTACTTACCCATATATCAGCCTCTGCATTGCCCGTTTCTTTCGCAGAATTGACCAATTCATCGAAAGAAATAGTACAATTTGCAACGAAATCGTCGGGAGGTATAGCGGCATCATGAAAGACAGTCAATCCTAAGAGTTGGGCATTGTGCACTTCGGAAGTAAAATATTCGTTCCAGATCGGCTTAGAAGTTTTCTGCTTAGTCGAAGATCGATCAATATGAATTTCATCGACGTCGATAGATACATAAGGGTCAATTAACATCTGTTGTTGTTTGCCAACGACATTTGCATGTCGCGTTGAAAATTCGGTTGGACGTAAATCAACAGCTTCACATATCTTCAGTTTCACGGTACCGGTGAAATTTGGCATTTTGATCGCTCACTTAGTTCCGTGACCGATCATGATAGATGTGCATCGACGCTTCTTTATTAACGCACTTCTTTTCCCATTTATTTCCGATCGCCGATGTTTTCTTTCATTTTCGATCAACTAAATGTCGATAAAGACAGCCCATAATCCATTGCGGAAACATCGGGAAGAAAGATGAATACGTCCTCTAACGGAATGATTTGTTAACTTTTTTAATCAAGAATTTATTTTAAAACGAAAATGAACAGTGATTTTATTATTTTTAATATTTACGAATTTTTATAATGATTAATCATTATATAACTTTTTATTTTGAATAAATAAAAATGATCCCTTCTGTAATCAATATTCTGTTTTGCTTGACTATAATGACTATTCAGAAGAGATGGAAATGATTTGGCATTTTTATTCCATATTAACGAAATTTAATGTACAGTAATATGAATGGAGTATTTTGCAACGAGCGAACATTGCAAAATTACGAATACAAATAATGCATGAGAAACCATTAAAATGATCGGAGCAATCCGCATTAAATCAGGTATACAATGAAACTTAAAAATTAGACGTACAGTACTGTACAGTACATTTTTCGCAGTTTATATCAAAAATTAATAATTATTAGGTATGCCTAATACTGTAGCACGTTTTTCGTTAATTGATTATTGTTTTGTTCCTAAAAACATATCAAAATTGTTTTCTCAGCTTTTCAGACCAAGATACTGATTTATATATTGTCAAGATCCTTTTACGTTTTTTTGTTAATTATTTGCTTGTATGCTTTTATTTTTGTTACGGAATATTCCCATAAGTATTATTTTCGGGGCATTAAGTACATAAATTATGCCATAATATGTCGCGCACTCAGGATTTAATTTTGGGGAGAGCCGAGTTGAATGGATGAGAAAATTTTTAATACGAATTCAATGAAATTTCCATCTTATGTGATCGCTAATTCATAATTAGTATAGAAATAGAAGACACGACACAATATAAATAAAAAAATAAATTTTAGTTACTAAACAATTTTCTAAACATTTTTTAATTTGCTTTTTTTTTTTTCTTTGGCGGGTGCTAGAGCCCCTTGGCCTTCCTCTGGATGCCCCACTGTAATTAATTAGTTCGTTCTTTAAATTTCGCTTTAGTATTTTATAGAAATTCTTTTTAGTTTGAAGTATGCGTTAGAGAAATGAAGTTTTTTTTTTTTTTTGAACTAATGTCGCCTACAATTTTTGCTGAACACCAACGAGCCAACGTTACATCAAAGATAATCTTAGATGTATAAATGAAATTCAAAATTAAATATCTGAATTTTTTCTATATAGTTGGATTGGATTAATCGGATAAGGCAATGCAGCACGTGGGCGATCTGCCAAGAACTTTTACAGAAACTTGTATCTTTTTTTAAAGGTTAGACAGTTTGGAATATTTAGAAGTTGAAGAAAACGCGAAAAGTTCTATGCGGCCAGCCTGACAATGAGGAGCGAACCCACGACTGACTACCAGTATTTAGTGGTCTTATCCATTCGATTAATAGTGGGCACAAATTTTTCTATATAAAAAATATACAAATAATATTTAAAAGTAGGCAAAAATTAATATTTTTGAATGCAATGTTTTAAATGTTGTAGTCATTCAAAAAAAATTTACGTATTCGGACAATCTGAAGTAATGATGTGTCCTAAAGAAAAAAACACATCTAAAAAAAGGAAGAAATCTTCAATGTTTAAATAAACAACATTTAATTGATAAACTCATGTACAGAATTGACAGAATTTCTGTCTAGATATAGAAAAATTAATATTGTTCAATATCTTATCATATGAACAATTTTTATTTATATGTGAACATTTATTTTGTTAAGCAATTAATATTTGGTGTGACTTCGTTTTGCTTTCAGAACCACAGAAACACATTTGCCAAGCTATCAATTAAACGCAAGTATATACTGTCTGGAACTTCATCCAAATTATCCCTGTGGGTTTATTGACCCGTCTCTCTTTGAACCCGTATCCCAGACCGGTAGGCTCTTTTTTCGTTGTTATACATGCGTCGGATTCTCAAATTATAAAAAGTAAAATTAATTACTAAAATTTCTTTTCCTCCTCAATTAACGCATAACAAATGAACTTTTATTGGTTTTTTTTTTATTGCGAAGGGTACGATTTTGGAAAATGCTTTTTGATTCTCTCAAGTGTCGAATCTTGCCCATCTTTTGGAATAAAAGATTTTTCAAAATTTATTGTTATTTATTCAAATAAGAAACTCGTTCGAATAATTAAAGGTTTCAAAGAGAAATTCTCGGTGCAAATTATAATTAATTAAGTTAAATGTAAAGACTTCGACTCTGGCATATTTCTGGACGTAGACTTAAACATACTGTATTTGTATATTGCTATATTCATAATTGTTATAATTGTTTTGAGTTGAGTGAGTTGGAATTGCATGAAAGGTTAACAGGTTATAATTTAGACAAGATTACTAGATAATATGATTGAAGAGCAGAGCAGAAATTTCTGTCTAAAGCCACTTTTGCTCACTAAATGCAGAGAAAGCAATAGCATGAATGGAAGTAGAGATTAAATTATTCAGTAAGTTTATGTGAATATGAGTACACGAATATTCTAAATTTGATTCATAATAAATGACCTGTGGAAGTATCCAATTAATTGTTCTGAGCAATATAATTTCCGTTTCATTCGTATATAAGTATATTTTTAGAAGGAAATAAAGTTATTGATTTAAAAATTATTTAGATAATTGAATATTGTAGATGAAAACATTAATATTAATTATTTTTATTTTATTTTCACAGACACCAGAAGAAATTCAGAGATTTTCATCTCTGTATATTGTTCTTTTTCATTTTTTCTTTGATATTTATTTTCTTTATTCTTTATTCGTATTTGTTCATTTTTACTTTTATTTTTTACAATACATTTGCATTTTATCATATTTATTCTTAATTTTATTTTTTCTATATTATGCAGTCGACCCCCCATAACACGGTAGATACGTTCCGTTCTTTATGAAATTGATGTTCTAAGAGTCCTTAAATACATAAGCCAATCACAGCCCGGCACGTATGCAGTTTACAGACTACAGCTGTTTGAAAGGTTTTCTTCCATAAAATTAATCGATTCTAGACTAATTCGACTCAACATTTCCAAAATACGTATAATTTTTTTGAGAATAATCCATATAAACTATGCTATAAACAAAAAATTGTAGGATTACTTACCGAGTGTGCATCGTTCGACGACGCCATTGCTTAAGCTTGTTTTCATCGTGGAGCTTGTCATCGAATAGCGCTCGAGTGCTTCCTAATAAATTACTGTATTTTTTTGCTAAAAATTCGCTGAACTTTGGAGACATCATTAATATAAATATAATTTTTCTGGCCGTTAAATAATAAATGGCTTTTAATAGGCCCACTGCTCGTTTAAACTGAACGGTTTGTGCAATATCCTCTATTACTCCAGATTCGACCAATCCTGTCGCGACACGAGTCGGCGATGACGTTTTACCGTATTTTACGAGTTTCTTTTAGTGTGTTTATACGAATACGGTAGCAATTTTTTTGACGCTATATACGAATCCGCATTTTATGAACCCGTTTTATAAGGGGGTCTACTGTATTTCTTTGGTTTTGTTATTCGTTGTGCATTTAAAAATATTTAAAAAATTGAAAAATTTGAAATATTATAAATATTAAAAAATCCAGAAACGAGTTCCAGCTGTTAGTAAAACCTAAATAGGGGCCATTTTACTTAAAAGACCTCTTGAAGCATTTCGCTTTCGGCAGGTCACCCATGTGTCGTGTTGCCATAACCAAATAAACCAAACTATCTGACTAAATTTAACTCGTCGAATTAATCATTGATTTTTACATTACGTGATAGGAAAAACTCCTCAACTGTATAACACAGCTTTTGCAATGTAAGCATATCATACACTTTTACATTTAAATCAATGGAACGCATCTCACTTTGTTAATCAGAAGTGGAAATGTAAGATTCCCGCGAATCTTACTGAATTGTGTGTGAAGAAATCTTTAATACATTACACGTTTATTTGCTATATATATTTATATGTATAGAGAAGGATCAAAGAAGAGAAGGTGCCTGCGGTTTCTCAGTTTATATATCAAGCACAGTCAAGCCCTGGCTGCGCTTGACGCGCCCTTTACAAGCCGAAATATGACATGACAGGGAATTAACTAATACCTTTTCCAAATGGAATAATAGGACTAATGAGATGTGTAGTTTAGGCAATGCAGTTATTGATTCTATGCATGGATCTATTTGGTGTGAGAGTCTCAACTTGGTTTAGCAATATTAAACTATTTTTTTAATATACGATGGTTGACGATAAGTTTGACAGATGTTTGTACATTTTATATGTATACAAACTTAAGCAACAAGTCGCGGCGTCTTGCCTATCGTAGATTGGTGTGCTCAACATACTGCGCGTCTGCCCCTAATAAATGCACATCAATGTATAAGAGCACACAGATTAATGAGAAGCACACTTCAGTGAATGAAAATGGATCAAAGAGCTAACGTTAGGTTCTGTTATAAATAAACGGCGTCAGAGAAGTACGGAATGATGCAACATGTTTATGGAATGACGCAATAACGGGAAAGTGTGTATACGGTTGGTTTGCATGCTTCCGCCTTTGGAATATGTCAGTAGAGGACAAGCCCCGTGGTGGACGGTTTTCGATAGCCAGAACCCCTGACAATATCCACGGTGTGAGACGACTGATAGCAAATTGATCGTCGGCTGACTGTCCGGTTAATTGCAGACGAACTGCATCTTAACCGAGAAGTGATTTGAAGACTTGGGTAAGAGAAAGCTTTTTATTTGGGTCACACAGTTTGAGGATGATCAGAAAGCGCGAAGAGTCGAGATCTGTTGAGACTTCATTAACTTGTGGGACTGTGACCCGCCTTTCTGGGACAATCTCATAGACGCAAAAAGTGCGCACTTGGGGCCTCTGATTATCAGAGAACTCTGCAAGTTAGCAACTTTAAAAAGAGATACATTCTGTGCACCTCAGGCACAGCTACCATCTTCATCTAGACAATTTGCCATTCGTCAAACGACAAACTGTGTAATAAAAGTTTTCACTACTTAATAACTGATCAATAAAATTTTATTTTCGACCACCAAAAAATATCTTAATAAATAATATTTAAAATTCATTGTCAGTTTGTGTACCTACTATCCAGTCAAATAAGCGCAGTTGATTTTCTATTGCAAACTGCAAACTGTGTTTGTTTGTTTGAATACGGCAACGCAGTATGTGGGAGATATGCCGAGAGGAGGGCGCAAACGAACATTCCTTAAATTGCTTGCGTTTGATGTAGTTGGTGTTTTTAGTGTCGCTTTTTTCTTTTTTTTTTTTAAAGGAAATGTTATCAAGTAATTGTTTAATTTTACCTTTAATTTAATTTTATTTAATTATGTAAAATTGCCTTTAATTTTTACAGACGCCTGTTGGTGACACACGGAGAGGCGTCTACAAAAATTAAAGGTAAAAACCATGTTGATCACATTATTCGACAAACATGGAATCAATCCACCAGGAGTTCGTTCCTGAAGGACAAACCATGAAAGCATCACTGTCAATGCTACTTGACTGTGATCAACAGTTGCAGCCTGTTTTCACAAGGCTACAAATTGGTTTTTGCTTCGCGATAATGCGCCTGCCCAAGTCGGATGGCCGAGCGGTCAAGGTGGCAGCCTACCGCTCTGGGGGACCCGGAATCGAATCCGGACGGGTCAAGGAATCCCCAGGAAATTTTCGGGGGGGGGGGTGGTCCGTTCGGAAATGTCGGGCCTCGTCCCTCACCACCCGGTCGCCCCATTGTGGGCCTGCTATAAGAGGCTCTCTTAGTGCCCATAGGGCGGAAAGAGTAACAAAATGCGCCTGCCCATTTTACGGTTAATAAAAAACAAATATTCTCGCTATTCTTAATCTGCGATCCTTATTTATAATTTGTTTAGGTTCAGAATTTCGGAAACAACACGAGAATGCGATCTTACTTTTCGCTAAGCAATTTCAAAATTAAAGTGTACTAATTATTGTTAAATTATATATAAAAATAAAACCATTTTTTATCATTTAATTTTGCAATATGTTAAATATAATTTTTTATATTAAATTTTGGTTTTTAATTATTATGATCAAAAATTTTTTGAGCGCCTCTAGTAGAAAAATTAATTATCGTGGTACCGCAGACTTATCTGTGCGTGGAACGTGGTTTTTGATTCGCTTGTTTATAAATTTCTGCTTAATAAAAGTTTGTTTATGAATTCGAATTTTTAACGCTGGAAAGTTTATCGAATGTTATAAAGATAGTATGATAAATTTAACATCTCTTGACATAAGTAACGCTATAAATAACCTAGAGATAATTAGCAATGCTTGTGTAATGTCAGAATTGTAATGTTAAGTTGCTGTAATCATGTCGAATCTCAACGATATCCATACTGCAGGGCTAGTATTAGCTAGAGGTGGAAGTAAAGGAATTCCCAAGAAAAATATCCGATTGTTGTCTGGTATTCCTCTTCTAGTTTGGGTGTTACGTCCAATGATAGACTGCAAAAGTAAATTACACGATTTTTATTATTTTGTATTTAGACAACGACGTTTTTGAATATTAGGCAAAAAAATACCATCATAAAAGTCAATCATAACACCAAATCGTAATTAATAATTATAATGCATTGATTATAATCGTGTATTGAAAAATATATAATTCAATATAGCACACATAATGTCATTATATAATCTATCACCTGGTATAACCGAGTAAACGGATCAAAAACTTAATAATCCCAGTAGATAATTTAATTTAATGTAAAATCGACAAATGTTTTTTTTATCTTGCATAAGATCTGCTTCAGGTCAACAACATTCTGAATTGGAGTTATCAAGTTTTGAGATTGGAGTTTTGATTTGTATATATAGTTATAGTTATTGATCTAGTTATGAGAAGAAGAAAATTTCTATCAACTGGTGATATGTGTAAAGGTAGCTTCATCTTTAACTCATTTCTTCCAAGATTAGTTTAAAATAATACTGGTAGTTACCATCTATTTCTGTCCTTCCACTTTTTTCCTTTCCTGTCTTTCTTGATCCTTTTACTTAATTTCAGTTGTAAGTCTCTTTCCTCATAAATTTCAACTCTAAAAACCATTTTGAATATTCATTTTTTTTCTCCCTTATATGGCTAAGCCATTTAATTCTTGACATTTCTGTTTAGCTGATTATACTGTCCATCTTCATCTCTATTCCTTAAATTTGTCATTCTGTCTCTTCTAGTTTTTCCTGGCATATTCCTTAAAAATTTCATTTCATTGTCCTATAATAATGATAAGATATGTGTGATAGATATTGTTACTCACACATAAATCATATCAGGTTTGGACAACTTATAGTGATTTAAGTCAAAAAAAGTACCAATCACCTTTTTATTCTTTTATATAAAGTTTATTAATCTATATATATAATCAAGATGGGTTGATAATAATAATCAGTGCAGAGCCCAAACAGTTAGGAGTTGAAATTTGTCAGGGTATGTCACGAGGATGCACACTAGGAAGGGATTTTTTGAAATTCTTTCCCCTGGGAGAGAGGGACAGGATTAAGGCTTCGACAGTGGAAGTGTTAAGTAACAATGGAAGTATCAACAATGGAAGTGTTAAGATAAAGTGACATGCAAGATTTACAGGTGCAGATGCAGTTTATTTTCGTTTTTGTGGGAAATCGAACATTTTTTAACCCATCTAAAAATTCTCTAATTACAGTGGTACCTCAGGATACGAAATTAATCCGTTACGAAACTGAGATCGTATCATGAAAATGTCGTAAGGTGGATCATCTTTTCCCATACGATTACATGTAAAACCAAATAATTCGTTCCAACGCGAAAAACATACTCAAATTAAAGCCAAGTAATACATTAAAAAAAATAACTGTAGTAAGAAAAACAAATGAAAAATGCGAACTAATGTAACGTCGTATGGTGAGTTTTTGTTCGTATCGTGGAGCAAAAATATGTTCGAATTTCATGTCGTATCCTGAAAATTTCGTATGCTGGGGCGTTCGTAACCTGAGGTACCACTGTAGTCTGGAAACAGAGAACAAATTCTTGCATTCTTTAAAAACGGGTAAGATTGACTATAACATAATAATCTTAATCTTCGCTATCATTACTTTCTGCCCGAGCAACACCGGGCCTGTCTACTAGTCTCTTATAAAAGTATGCTACAAAACAATTATATTTATTTATTGCATTGTAATTGAAGATTCAGATGATATTAAGACATAACATTTGACATTAAAACAAATTTAACTGCACCATTTATCATTCACCATAAAAAAACAAATTTTATTTTCATTCATTGTATGAATCATAAGTTTCATTTCTCTTTGGCACACTCATTTTGGATGTAACTGAAATTGTTTAGGACAGCAAAGCAATTTCTAAAATAACAAAACCTGGATATAAGAAAAGAGCATCTCATTTTTTTATGTTTCTCATTCATTGTTTTACTGTGTTTCAGTACCGCACAGCATTAACAACCGACAGTAATAGCTAAAAGATTTCTGGTGGAAAGTATGGAACTTATGTTCCCAGGAAAATCACAAATGTATTTAATGTTTTAATAGGCCATATTTTTGCAATCAAATTGTTGGCCTGATTTACTTACTATAAAAGATAAATTCCATGCTTCATTCAGTAAATGATTATTATGGAACTTTGCTCATAAATATACCAAGTCACAACAAATGTATTAATAACACTCAATAATATATTTTATGCAACTTAAGTTACATAGAAATATATGACAGAATTTTTTAATACATTTTAAAAATAATATATATATTTTGTTTTAATGTTGTTGATCAAGTTTATTATAAGTTTGTTGATTTTCTATTGATCTATGAAATGGAATTATAAAAATGTATTTAACATTTCAGAGTTTCAGTCTATATGGGTTTCAACTGATGATGATGATATTGCTCAAATTGCAACTTCTTGGAATGTTCAGATCCATTATCGTTCCAAAAAGGTAGCAAAAGATACTTCTTCTTCATTGGAAAGTGTACAAGAATTTTTGAGCTATCATCCAGGTATTTCTAAATCTGTTTTATTGTATTAATATATTATTTTACATTAATGTATTTTAACATTATCAGAGTATACAAAATATTTTGGTTTCTTTTGACATACACATTGTATATTTAATATGTTTTTCAGATGATATTCAAAGACATCATTTAACATTTTAATGTAAATTTACAGATAAAATTTTAAAAAATGATAATATTAAGTTTTGTAAGAATGTTTGAATTTATCATTTTTAATAATAAAAATGTTTTATAAATATAAATGTACTGTACATGTGCCTGTTCATTGTAATTTTTAATTTTTTTTCAGAAATTGGAATAATAGCATTAATTCAATGCACTTCTCCATGTCTTCATCCATCATTTTTAACAATTGCATATGAAATGATGATTAATTTTTCATATGATTCAGTATTTTCAGTCATGAGACAACATAAACTACAATGGAAAGAAGTTGAATTTGGTAATAAAAGTTTTTTTATTTTATTTTAAAATCAGGTTTTTTTAAATAACTTTTTGTGTTTTAAAATTAATATGTGATAATATGTTTTATTAAGAAACACTTTGTAATCTAGCAAGTTTTAATCAAGCAATTACTTATTTCTTAATTTATATGATTTAAAAGTAACTACAGGTATACCTCGCCTTACGTCAGTAATTGGTTCCAGGAGAGGTGACTTAAGTCAAAAAATGACGTAAGTCGAATTTACTTGTCTCCGAATTTACTTGTCACTAAAAACACCAATATTGAGCATTTAAAGACCGCTAAATAAGACAACAACACAGAAACACAGATGTTTTCATGTTTCGTTCTCTAGGATTTATGATGATTATATTAACATTTAATGTAAATGTACATATTTTAATATGATTTTATGTGCTTTTACGCTTTTCTAGGGATATTACGACTTCAATATTTGTGGCGGATAGACATAAAATCGAATAAAATGACTTAAATTTGATTTTTATTTTTCCATATATTTTTTGACAAACGACATATAACCGAGAATGATGTAACTCGAGGTATACCTGTACTGTTATAGTTTGTTTGATGATGAGAAAATAAAAAGTTGGAAAAATTGTTTATTACACTATTGCCCAAACTTTTTAATTAGTTGGTCAATTTATACATAATTTATAGATTAGTAGGTCATAAACATTTTTAAATTCCAAGTATATAACCATGTTTCCAAGTTAAATCATAAAATATATATTAGTAATAAATTGACTTTATCTCATTGATGTAATTTTTATATAATAATTTTATATTGTATTATTTTATATAGGCAATAGTACATATCCTATTAATTTTGATGCTAGTCATAGACCAAGGAGACAAGATTGGTGTGGTGAACTAGTGGAAAGTGGTCATTTTTATTTTTCTTCTGTGGACTTAATCAAAAAAGGTCTTTTTCAAGGTGGAAAGTGAGAATTAAATTTAAAATAATTATATACTTAAATATATACAGTAAAAACTGTGTAAACTGAAATTGCATGTTACTGAATAATTTTTTCATTTTGAACAGGTTTAGTATCAATATTATTATTTTTTTTCTATTTTATCTTTAAAATAAGTTACATCAGATACAGTATAACCTAGTTAGAAGTTATTGAAGGAACCATTTTAAAAAACTTTTTACTCTTACCTCTTATGCAGGAATTGTAAAAAAAAGTAATTTTTTAATCTGTTTAATCAATTTTATTTCAATATCAAGATAACATAGCATAGTGTAACATAGTAGAATAGTAAGATACACTGACTACAGCAGGTGAAGAAGTGACTGGTGTCAATAGTTAATGGACAGCACTGCATAGAGAGTATGGTCAAAACAATAAGACTCCAGCTAATTTAGTGACCACCTCAGGTGTGCAGGTGTTTGATATACAATATAGTGAACATTTGGAGTTACTTTACCAAAACTTTACTATTTTTTAAGTGATAAAGTTATTGTGAGGAAAAAGATTAAGAAGTTTAAGTTGAAGATACATCATAAGTGGGTAAAATATTGTTGGTGGGACTGATATTTTGGAATATCTTACAAGGGAAAACTTATGTGGGAGATTTTAACGCACATCATATGGTAAATGTCAGGACTTTTTATGCAGGAAAACCTCTTAGGAGGAACTTAAACACATTTTACGTAAATGTAATATTTCTACATTCATTTTTTATTGTAAAATCACTTTTATATAGCTTATGAAAAATTTTATTACTATGCTTAATCTAAATTAATTGAAATCTCAACTAAAAATGGGAGTATTCAAATGCAAGAATTGAGAACTATTTGATTGTAAAAACTTCTTGTTTCCACAAATGTATACTAGATATTTGAATACTTCTTGGATACAATCCTCATGAGCTCACATGACAGTGAACAAGATAATTTGAATACCAAACCTAGTGTCTTTCTCTGTCATCAGAAATTCTAATCACAATGCTGTTATACAGAGACCAAGTTATTCTGTGATCTGGCTTCTCAAGGAATTTAATACTCTAATTAATCATTTGTGTCAATCTTTGAAATTATCATGTTAATCAACTTGTTTTTGAATACTTGATACAGTAAATCCTTGTTAATTTGAATTTGGATAGTTCAAAATCCTGTTAGTTTATAACCATACTTTCATAACCATACAGTCCCAGCCATGGATATAGGGATTTACATGTTAAGGAATTTGGTTAGTTTGAAATATGGCTACTTTAAAATTTGAAGTGAAAATTCTGTCCAAACTGTGATTTGAGTATATTGACTCATTCATTTAGATCAAAGTGCCTCCATACTATAAAAGAACAATAGACCAAGAACAACTCTAAACTGGTCAATGTGGCTTTGCTTTTACAGTTACACATATTCAAATATCATCTTATCCATGGACTATCCTTTTTACCCTTTATCACATAAAATACAGGTAGGTTTTGGGATTCTAAGATTGGGCTATAAGTAGCAGATTGAGATATTTATAGGGATCTAGACAGTGGTGATATTCGAAATATTTAACAAAGGGTTCGCTAACAGAAAATTTTCCTTAACAATTTTTTTCCGCTCAAATGGTGCACCGGAAGGCTCTATTTAGTAGTGTTACAGAGTATAATACGTATATTTTAATATATTTTTTAAAAAATCAAAACCATTGAGAAATGTTACATGTGTTTAACAAGGTTCGGAAAACTTTGAAAATGTTAACAACGGGTTCGGCCGAACCTGTGCGAACCCGCTGAATATCACCACTGGATCTAGACTACTACATTTTGAGTTACATTTAGAGGAATTCTGCTTGTGAGTCTCACTAGACTTGTGCTGTTTAATAATAGTAATTTAAATAAACTGTAGGTAATCATTAATTAATGAAAATAGCATTCTGTGTATGTAGCTGTATTCCATTTGCTTAATAAATTACATCAGCTTACATGGCATTTGGCATATTGTACAGAACTATGTAAATCTCAGATAATTTGAAACTTGATCATTCGAAGTCGTGATTATTTTGGACCTTGAATTTTGAACTAATGAGGATTTTCTGTAGTTAATTTACTCTGTTCAGATTAGTTATTGACATTACTGTGTTATCTTATTTTCACCTTTTTACAAATTCACAGGACAATAAATTTTAACTTTTATAATTTTTCTTGATCTATTGTACATAATTTTTTAATATTATTTCTCATGATTAAACTAAGAACAAAATATTTCTGTCACATCAGGATAAGGAAATAAAGGCCATCTTGTTTATTATTCATTTTATTGGTAACAAAAAAGATACAAATGTATATGAGCAAATGTATATGACATCACAATGCTGGGCTGCAATTTTTAATCATATATTTAATTTAAAATATATGCTCCCCCCCAAATTATTAGTATCTTGCCCCTGCTGGTTATCTATGTAATTCTTCTGGGAAAAATTTTTGAATTATAATTGCATGACTTCTGGTCTAGACAAGTTCTTATCTAATAGTGATCTCCAAGCTGCAGATAAATGAAGCTAAAAATGTTTTATTTCTGAAATTAAACATTTTACTGTTGGAAAAGTGTGGAAGGTTGTAGTCAATTCAATTCATTGAAGTAATATTTCCAGCTTCAGAAGTAATGTAAGTTTCATATTATTTTTATATCAAATAATAAAATTACCATTCTTAATCCATTTTTTTGGTTAATTGTTAGTTTTTATTACTCTACATCAGTCACATATTATTTATAATAGTACATGTTGATTCAATTTTATTTGCATGTTATTAAGGGTTATTTTTTATACAAATAATTAAAATAAGAAAATTTAGCCTCATTATGCATGTACAAGTTGAGTAGAAACACTGTTTTGTTTGTTTGGATGTGATAGATAGCAGTGGCGTGCCGTCCTTGGAAGCAGTGGAAGCACCGCTTTCCTTGTATTTTATAAAATATAAATACATATTGCACTATTATTTTCACATTTTAATGTACTTCAAATTAATTAAAATTAATATTTTATTATAACTGCATTATGTATTTTATTACAAATTTCTATACTACATGTGAAAAAAACAATAAGATTGCTATTGTATATTTGAATGTCAGTGGCGGAATGGAAGCACTGTATTGTCGAAACCAAGTCAGTTTCCAAGCAACCAGATTATACGCATTCACGCATGCTCTTTACAGAGCACCAACCTCACCTGGTTTAGCTGGTGGAAGCTACACACCAAAATATCATATAACGCTTCCAATGATTCTATCCAGGACCGGTTCTGGGCTGTTAGCTGCCTGCCAGATATTTGGCCACCCTCGCCTGATTATGTGAATCATGAGTAGATTTATAACTTAACCCGACTGATAGGAATTTACTGGTATGTTTTTATGATAGTTCTGTATAGTTGACAGGAGTTTAAAAAAAATCCATTAAAATATTTGATATATTTATTCTGCTCTCCCATCTTGTATTACTTATCAGTTTCAATGTTAAATTAGTGATATTATGATTTAGTATGTTCCATCTATAAGGAAAAAGTGTACAATTCTTGTACAATGTTAAAAAATTAACTGTTACTTTGGCAGCATCATTTACAACTAAATTTAATGAATGAGATGCACAAGGTACAAAAAAAGCCCTAGAATTTATATTCCTTAAATTTATGATTTATGTATCGTTGTCATAAAAATTTGTCTTTCCACTTTTTTCCCAAGACTACAAATATTGAAGTACGAAGTAACCAGTTTCAACTTATTTCTACTTAACAAGTAGTTAAATAATTAAGAGATTAGGAACATAAATAAAACCCTGCTGAAAGGCCAGAATTTTACTTAAACAAAAGCTTAACTAAACCAATCTGTAGCCGAGTATATTGGGGACTGATTTCTTTGTAATATTAGATGTAATAAAGACAGAAATTTTTCCAGTTCAATGAGAGTGACTGAAAAGTTGTAAATTTTGGAAATTTCCATGGATACCTGGTCCTAAAACGAATTAGTTAGAAAACAAATGACTATTAAGTTTAACATATTTAGATTTTGACAGCTATGGTGAGAAAATGTTTAAAATTTACAACCTGTCGCGTCATTTGAGGTATACTAGTGGTATGACGAAAGAGGCATTTGACATTGACCACTATCGGTATCTGGGGATTTGGCAGCTTGCGTGCATGCACACACTGCACACCTACCAGGACCGTTTCTGATTCCATCCATTAGCCAATGGTAGGGAACTATTTGACTAAGTGGATTGTTTAATAAAACGTAAAATACATCTGGGTATGAGTCCAATCTTGCTTGCCATGTCCACTCACCAGGAACAACTATTTCCATTGCAGAGACAACCTTTCTTTAGAGGCTATGCCTCTGCACAAATATGTAAAACAGTTTAAAATGTTCACAGGTGACATTCCCAACACAATTAAAAATATAATATTTCTTTGTAGAAAAGGGCTGGCAGAATTACAATTTAATAAAAAGTAAAATACATCTGGATACGAGTCCAATTTTTTAATTTTTACAACAGTTTTAAGATTTTATGTTATTTTTATGTATGTTTCTTTACAAAGCTACATTTAATTATAATTTTCTTTAAAAGTATATTCATACAATTGAATGAATATTTTGTACCAAGTATGTATATTCACCACACATTTTATTTCACCAAGTTTTTATAATTTTATTTTTAATTTTAGCCCTTATCATGGTTAGCAATTCAGAATGTAATTGTGATATTAAAAATACATTTAGAGAAGTCTATGGTTTTTACTGGCGTATCGAACAAATAAATATGAATGGGTCTTCAACCATCACTGACGCGCAATTAACTGATTGCCCCTGATAGTTGGCTTGTTACAGAAACACAGCTTCCCTATTGTCAAATGTCACAGCATGCCACTGATAGATAGATTTCTATACTGATTTCAACATTCATGTACACTTTAAAAAAAAATAGAGCTTTTGTGACCTAGTTCTCATCACATGATCTTCATTTCTCTGTAAAGGTTGAAAATCATTTTCAGAATTTAGATTATCATACTCTGAAGTGATTGTTACACCTGTAGGTGATTTTACTTATTTGTCTACAAGTGGAATATTAATTTTCTGCTTTATTCAGGTTTACATTATTACATTTTTCATACCCAAAATTCTCTTCCATTTCTGCATTGGACAAGTTTCCAACATACAGTAAAATTTAACATAGAAAATTGCTTTGTTCCAAAAAATTTTTTCCATTTAGGCAAATTTTTGTTTTATCTGGGTTCCATTTTAGATATTTTTATATACAGTAAAACCTAAGTATTGTCGGTGATCAGTTAACGAACAAATCAGATAACAAACACTTTCAGGAAAGATTTTTATGATCAGACAATGAACACATATTCAGATAATGAATACTTTACTGAACAAACATAAAAAAAGCGATGGAAAATAACGAATACCGAATGATTTTTCCTTGTCTTCAGGTAACAATTTGAATCTTTTTGGAGCGCGGGAGACGTCAACATCGACACTCAATCTGAGACCGATTGGATAGTATCTCTCCGAATTTTGAAACTCTCCTTGTAATTCCAACTTTTTTTAGTTTACCTTTCTGACAAATAATTTTTTATAGTTTTTGCGAGATTGTCCAATGGGCACTTGTTAAGTTTTGTGTCTGGGTTTATTTACGAAAGGTGAAAGTTTAACTGTCCCATCGGATATTTGTTAACATTTTAATACCAAATTTCGAATTTCATCCAGGCCTTGCATTTAAATAATTTTTGTGGGCTAGTTGATTTCTGTTCTCTGAATTTTTGTAAGTGCTTTTCTGAACTTTTTATTTAAAAAAGAAACTGACAATATTATGGAGCTTAAAAAGAGGAGTGTCAAGAACTGTGCTCACCGTAGAAACCAAGTAAGAGATAATAGCCAAGGTAGAAAGTGGGCACAAGATGTCTGATGTTGCTAGGCAGTATGGCTTGAACAGGTCTACAGTAGGCACAATCGTAGCTATGAAAGATATATCAAGAAGTCTCAAGCTGATAATGGAGTAATGAAAATCACATCTGAGAAATAAAAAGCATTTTAGAGCTCATAATGGAACCTGAAACTGATCTGATGACAGAAGAACTCCAGGAATGTCAGAACAATGATTATCCAAGTGGCAACCAAACCAGAATAAGGTTAATGGAGTTGGGGATCTGTACAAATACAATATTATTAATTACTTCTGAAAAATCCCAAAGAAAAGAGAAAAGCAATCGACATTGGACAGATTCTTTAACCTCCACAAACGGAAAAAACATGACTAATAAAAAAAATGCAAGACTGCATATATGTCTAGTATATAAATAAACGTAGTAAAAAAGTATATATATCAGGTCAGTCCATAAGTTCATGCCTATTTTATGATCTTGTTTTGCTGTTAAAAATGCCAGTCTAATGTGATACTTTTTACACTGAAGTGTTAAATTGGATCTCATTCATATAATACTGTTCAGAATTGGGATTATTTCAGTTGTTTATTTTCGTTAAAATGGAAGTAACAGATGAATATAAGAGACGTGTTTTATACTTTTTATTTTTAAGTGATGAGAATGCTACAAATGCAGCCAAAAAATTAAATACTGTTCATAATCAAACTGTAATTAGTGTAAGGACTGCGCAGAAGTGGTTTGAAAGATTTAGAAATAATGATTTTAGTGTGGAGGATAAGGCTCGTACTGGAAGACCCGTTGACTTTGATGATGATGCTCTCTCTGCACTAGTTGAAGCAGAACCATCTTTAACAGTTGATGAAATTGCGGAACGTTTAAATTCATCCCATGGAACTGTTCATAGACATCTACAACAAATCGGAAAAGTTTCAAAGCTAGGAAAATGGATACCACATGAACTGTCAATAGCTAACTGACAACAACGTCAACTGCTCAACTCAAAAGCTTCAACTGGGAAATTTTACCTCATCCACCATATTTGCCAGATATTGCTCCCAGTGATTATCATCTTTTTCGGAGTTTGCAGAATTTTTTAAAAGGAAAAACTTTTGAGGATGAGAACAATGTAAAAAAGGCTATTTCTGAATATTTTGATTCAAAACCGAAATCATTTTACAAAGACGGGATTAAAAAGCTACCGTCAAGATGGCAAGAAATTGTACAAAATAATGGTGAATACATTATAGATTGAAATAAGATTTAATTAAAATTTTTGTTGCCTTTTTTGTAGATAAAAAATGCGCACGAACTTATGGACTGACCTGATATTTTTTATTTTTCGGAGTCTCTGGAACAAATTAATCAAATTTCCATAAAAACCTAAGGTAAATCGATAATTGGTTAATGAACAATTCGGATAACAAACAAAATCTTTTCAAAAAAAAAAATTACTCAATGAAATTTACTTTATATTAATTAAAAAATAGCTTTTTGTATGTCAGAAGTGGGTTACAGAAGAAGAATGAAATTTGTTTGTCTCTTTTTAATTACTTTTTCATTTTTTATATAAGATTTGATTAATTTTCATTAAAATTTGTAAATATAAGATGTGTATATATTTAAGGATCTATTATATAGCTGATATAATATTAATAGTCTTAAATACATATGACAGTCTTATAATAGTTAAATTTTAGAATATTCATTGAATTTATATTGTATTTTTATACAAAGTTTTGTATGGATTAATTATATGATATCATTTTTAATAACTTTGGCTTAAATAAATATTTGCATAGATTTTTTTAATAAAAAATAACATTACATGATGTTTTATAGATGTGGTTATGTAGAAATTCCCAAAGAAATGTGCATAGAAATTGATTCAGAATCAGACTGGAAAATTTCAGAATGTCAAGTCCAGTTATATGGTTATAAAGGTGTAGGAAGTAAATTATAAAATACAGTTAGTATCTTATTGTCACTATCCATTAAAAATAAAGGCAAAAACTGAAAATAATTTTATAAGTTTTTATAAATAAATAATTGATGTATAACTTGTAATAACTTGTTAATCTCTTCAATACATTTTAACTATCAATAATATTTTAAATTGATCAACTTAGATAATTATTATTCAAAGTTAGAAAATATAATTCCAAAAACTAAGAAATGTATCTGAATATATCATTAAGTCATGTATAGTCAATCATTTGTAATAATCAATAACATTTTTGCTTATTATTTTTTATAGAGAATGATGTTAGAATAGATCAAAGGAAATCAATGGATTCATAAAGTAAATCTTAGTACAGAATATGTTATTTATCTGATAAAAGTTAATGATGTTATATTTATTACAATAAAATAAAATCATAAAAAAAAATCTGCTTTTAAAAGGTGANCAAAGACGGGATTAAAAAGCTACCGTCAAGATGGCAAGAAATTGTACAAAATAATGGTGAATACATTATAGATTGAAATAAGATTTAATTAAAATTTTTGTTGCCTTTTTTGTAGATAAAAAATGCGCACGAACTTATGGACTGACCTGATATTTTTTATTTTTCGGAGTCTCTGGAACAAATTAATCAAATTTCCATAAAAACCTAAGGTAAATCGATAATTGGTTAATGAACAATTCGGATAACAAACAAAATCTTTTCAAAAAAAAAAATTACTCAATGAAATTTACTTTATATTAATTAAAAAATAGCTTTTTGTATGTCAGAAGTGGGTTACAGAAGAAGAATGAAATTTGTTTGTCTCTTTTTAATTACTTTTTCATTTTTTATATAAGATTTGATTAATTTTCATTAAAATTTGTAAATATAAGATGTGTATATATTTAAGGATCTATTATATAGCTGATATAATATTAATAGTCTTAAATACATATGACAGTCTTATAATAGTTAAATTTTAGAATATTCATTGAATTTATATTGTATTTTTATACAAAGTTTTGTATGGATTAATTATATGATATCATTTTTAATAACTTTGGCTTAAATAAATATTTGCATAGATTTTTTTAATAAAAAATAACATTACATGATGTTTTATAGATGTGGTTATGTAGAAATTCCCAAAGAAATGTGCATAGAAATTGATTCAGAATCAGACTGGAAAATTTCAGAATGTCAAGTCCAGTTATATGGTTATAAAGGTGTAGGAAGTAAATTATAAAATACAGTTAGTATCTTATTGTCACTATCCATTAAAAATAAAGGCAAAAACTGAAAATAATTTTATAAGTTTTTATAAATAAATAATTGATGTATAACTTGTAATAACTTGTTAATCTCTTCAATACATTTTAACTATCAATAATATTTTAAATTGATCAACTTAGATAATTATTATTCAAAGTTAGAAAATATAATTCCAAAAACTAAGAAATGTATCTGAATATATCATTAAGTCATGTATAGTCAATCATTTGTAATAATCAATAACATTTTTGCTTATTATTTTTTATAGAGAATGATGTTAGAATAGATCAAAGGAAATCAATGGATTCATAAAGTAAATCTTAGTACAGAATATGTTATTTATCTGATAAAAGTTAATGATGTTATATTTATTACAATAAAATAAAATCATAAAAAAAAATCTGCTTTTAAAAGGTGAAGAGCAAGACAAGACAAGAAATGCACTTTATATATTTTTTGTATTATTTGTGTTGTACTGTAACAAACATGTACGTTGAGCAGTTACATAATATGTGATGTAAACTAATATATATTTTATAAAAGAAAAAAATTGTATTATTTACTGTTTAAATCTTTAAATTTTATGAATTTGTTTTTCTAAAAAATATATTAATTTATTTTAATTATTACTACTTATTCTAATTAAAAAATTATGTAAAATGAGCAAATATTTATTGTGACAGCGTCATAATGCCAGCTTGCGATTTTTAATCATATTTTTAATTTTTTTAATTTAAAATATATGCTCTCCACCTCAAATTGGTAGTGGCTTGCTCCTGTACGTCAAACTTTTCCTTTAACAACATAGTCTTGCCGATCATCTATCTAACACCTTTCGGGAATATTTTTGAATTGAAGTAACATGACTTCCGGTTTGTATCAGAAGTTCATATATAGTTAATCGGGGCCTCTTGCCCTAAGGTTTCCATGTCTGGTATCGTCTTCTATCTAACTCCGTTCTCGAGATTAAGGAAAGACATACGGACGGACTGACACAGTGCGAATTTAGGTCTACAAATTTTTTCAACTTGCAGCCCAATAAGCAGAATTGCATAAATCTGTAATTCTGCTGATTGTAATATCAAATTCTAGTTTAATTAAAGTCTTCAACGTGTTTTAAGCTAATAATGGCCGAAAACATATTACTGTATTAATTAAATACTTTGTTAAATGAATAAATAAATTCAAAAACTACAATAAATAAGAAAACATATTTATAAAAATAATGCATTATTTTTTAATTTTTTCTATAATAATTGTCCTGTCTAGAAGTTTGTTAGACGATGATGTATTAATTTCTTAACCATAGTGAAAGATGGTGAAGATCCAATATGGCTACTATTCTAGAAAGTTTTAAATATGCAAAATATAATAGAGCAATGTTTCTCTATTTACACAGACCAGTATTTTTGTGAAATTAAATTAAAATAGTTGTAAAACGAAGAGAACCGAGTTCAAATGCACTTTTAAAAAGTTTAGACAAAAACTTATAAAAACCTCGCAGAAAAAGGATATGACGTTCTTGATGCTTGGATGCCTAGTTGGTGACTCCCCTACTTTGGTCGTGTGTGCAACATTAGGACGTTAAGAAGGGACTCCACGTACCTCGGAAAGCTCTGAGGGCGACGAGCCGGAGAAGGACTTCTAGTATCGACCCAGCAGCGCACCCCGGGGTCGACGAGTGACCATCAACCCATACTAGGGCGCCCAGGATCGGAAGTCTGAGATCGACGGGCATTATGTTGTTGGACTCATATTATTGTTGCAACCGGGATCCCGACATTTCAAAGTTTTTATAAGAAACTATTTTAATGTTATTAAACGGATAAAAATGGGAAAACCTGTCTCTGTGAGTTCCGCCGCTCCCACGCGACAGTGCTGACTGCGAGACCATCTAGACGCTTTTCACCCACCCCCTTTTTGGCTAACCTCACATCAATGTAAACCTCTCTGTATTATCTAGAAAGTCGAAAACGCTTAACCGAATGGTTAATATGCATTTTTTAAAAGTAATGGATGAATAAAGCAATACATCAAATGGGTGGGTGATCTGCCAGGAATGATATTTGCCCTAGGAAAACACTATTAAAAATTGGTCCATATTCAAGCACGTGAAGAAAACTTGGAAAATCCAACGCGACCAGCCTGTTAGTAAAGTGCGAACCGGTTCAGTGGTTTTATTCATTCGGCCACTGGTTTATTAAAAGTCGTCAAAAGTCTTAGCAATTTGATCTAGATTTTGAAGAAAACAGAAAAAGTTAAAAGACATGATGAAACAATTACAGACCATGAATGTTGTTTTACAGTAAATATTTATCATGTATGGTAAGATATAATTATAAATGAAATTAACAATCGGTTCAAAGGATTAAACGAATATTTAAATTAATAACATTTTCTGTCATATTTCTGAAAATGTTACTCTTTTTATCTGAAAATTAATTAATTGAACAAGCGTAACATTTTTTCCAAAAATAATATTGATTTTACAGAACATATTTTATTTATATACAGATTGGTTGTAAGTGTTCACAGGAAAAATTTCAACCAAGTGCAGTGGGAGACTGGGTCTAAAAATATTGGTTGCCAGGTTACAATGTAGGCCTACAGTACATATATTGTAAATATTTTTGGCAGTATACAGTACATACTAAATGTATGTACGGATTGATATACAGTAATTAAATTTTTAAATTATTAATTTTTCTAAGTTTTAAATAAATGGTAGACGGTAGAGTGTTGGAAAGTAGTTCAAAAGCACATTTCATGCATGTAAGAGCAATCGCTTGAATTCACTAAATGATTGCGCGAATCTGTCAATAATTAATTCTACATCCAATTCACCTAACAATTCCTTTTCAATGGATAACAACATTTGTGATTCCAAGTTTTGCTTGGACAGCGAATTTGTTAACTTTGTCTTTATGATCTGTAGCTTTGAAAATGTACAGTACTCTAACATTGGATTGAATTACAGATAGTGTGAAGATACTTTACAAAGTTTATAAAGGTTATCATGTGATATTTACAGACCAATCACGGGCACATTTTAGAATCAGTAAAAATCGAATCTAAAACTGATTGAACTTTGGTTATTTTGAAAAATTATCTATTTATCTATATATAAATGAGGATGTATGCAGTGGTGATATTCAGCGGGTTCGCGCGGGTTCGGCCGAACCTGTGCGAACCCGCTGAATATCACCACTGGATCTAGACTACTACATTTTGAGTTACATTTAGAGGAATTCTGCTTGTGAGTCTCACTAGACTTGTGCTGTTTAATAATAGTAATTTAAATAAACTGTAGGTAATCATTAATTAATGAAAATAGCATTCTGTGTATGTAGCTGTATTCCATTTGCTTAATAAATTACATCAGCTTACATGGCATTTGGCATATTGTACAGAACTATGTAAATCTCAGATAATTTGAAACTTGATCATTCGAAGTCGTGATTATTTTGGACCTTGAATTTTGAACTAATGAGGATTTTCTGTAGTTAANACAGGTAGCACATAGCACTTGCCAGCGTGGAGTGTACAGTAGTAGTATTTTGCCCCTGTACATCATACTTTACCTTTAATATCAGACTCGTGCCGGACATATATCTAATACCTTTCAGGGGACAATATTTGAATTGAAATAACATGACTACCAGTTTGTACCGGTCGTTCTCATATAATTAATCGTATCCTACAACCACTAAAGTTTTCACTTCTCCTCTCGTCTTTCATCTATCTAACTCCATTCTCGAAATTTAGGAAAGACTGACGAACAGACAGATGACAGCGGGAATTTGTAAATTTACAATTTTCTCGAATTGCATCCCAAGAAAAAAGTATCCGAATACATTCAGCATCTAGACTTACTTGTTAGTGCATTGTACTTTCGTGCTAAAAGCAGAAAACAGAGACAGATATTCTGACAAATGCATCGGTGCCTATTTCGGCCCATTACTCGATATAACGTACACGGAATATTGTGTAGTCGACGCAGATGGGAAGAACAAAAAAAACGGAAAGTTATCAATACAAGTATAACAAAACGAAATTTATCAAACTAAAAATGACGCCTGACAAGAAGAGATTTAAAGTCATGTTTGCTGGGAAATACGGTGCGAAAAAGATGAACTGATCAGCGACTGACACGCGCGTCACAATGCACATTTGGAGCTGCGATGCAACAGTCGCAACGTAGTGGCAGGGTGACTTTTCCTATCACAACATCAATTGTATAGTATTAAGTTTTTGCCAATATGTGTATTTATATTTCATCGTGATTTTCCCGGTTGAATCATTATGTTTATTTCCTACGTTTAAGATTAAAACTCTGTAAATTTTTGGTAAATATATTAATGAAAATACATTGATTAAGACACTAAACAGTGTTGTTACTTTTATTAAAATGAATATTGCATTTAGTTATCGTAAACGTCATGATAGATTTTAGAAGTTAAGCTAATCCACTATTAAGCTTAAAATTTTTCAACATTTAATTTAAGTTTGTACAGCAAGTAATTTAATTTTTTCTTTTAGATTAATAAAACATTATGAAAGCGAATCTTAAGAATTTTTTTATATTGAACTAAATTTTATAAACAGAAAACTATATCAAATTTTATAAGTAACGTGACGTCATTGGCCGAACGTCATTCACCACAACAATTATGCAACGAGCTTTTTCGATAATTGTTAATGAATCAACAATTCAAATTCCATTGTTCTTTGAATGAAGACGCCATTTTTGTATTTCTCGCATTTTCGAAGAAATAACGTAAGAAAGAGCCGCGAAATTGCAGAACGATAGAGGGAAGAGGAAAAGACGGTGTTTTAGTGTAAGAAACAGAACATTCAAACAAAGAACAATGGACTTTTAATTGTTTATTCGTATGTAGGTGATATGTATATAGGAATATATATATTAAGTAAATGTAAATATTTAAATATAAAGTATTACTATCAAATATAAATATAATTGCAAATTAAATTAGAATTAGAAATAAAAATTGGAATTAATTAGAATTAGAAATAAATATTGGAATTAATTAGAATTAAATATCAATATTATATATATATGATTATATATTATATGAGGGTCATTCAAATGATACCCGACCAATGGATATATCAAAGCGCGGAATGTGTCTATTTGAAATGTAGGTGGAAACACTGTATGCTCACGCTGAAGTGTTGTGGCGGTCGGCCATAGTTTATATATATATATATATTTGTTAACTTTAGCTAGGCTTAGTAGTTCCTTTGTTCTTTTGTCTTATCTGTTCTAGAACTTTCTCCCTTAATCCCTATTCCCTCGGGTGACATCACCGATTCTGTGAAACAATGTCATGAGAAAAAAAGGAACAACAAGCCCCTAGGGAGAAAGAAAGTGGAAGAAGAGGAGAAGAAACTGGGACTTCGTCGAGAGAGGACGGAGAAACGAGTGCGGTCCTGACCGAGGAGTCTAGCAAGGAGTGAGAAAAAACCTTGCGAAAGAAGGCCGAAGGAGGATCATACCTTGATCGCCTAGAGAGAGATCAGAGGTGTCGGAACCT